GAATTCCTTGGGATCCTTGAATTCCTTGAATTCCTTGGGATCCTTGACTTCCTGGGGATCCTTGGCTTCCTTCGAATCCTTGGCATCCTTGAGACCATTGGGATCCATGAATTTCTCGGGATTCTCGAATTCCTTGGATTCTTTGGGATCCTTGAATCTCTTTACGCTACCTTATGCTGTAGTTTCTTAGTGCCCGTAGGTATTGGATAATATTTGAGTTCAAGAATTCCTCAAGAGTTCGGAATTCACGGAATTCGGACACTACTGAAATTTATTGTCAATAGATAAGAACGAAACAACAGTCGAAATAATCTATTAGGATAAAGTATTCTATCTTTTTTTTTGATTCATTGTAATGTAACTGGCAATCTCAAATCTGATAGAATTTTCACATGATTTAACTACTAAAAATTTAATTAAATTATTAATGTAATGATTGAACTACCTTGAAGCAATATATACAGACAAAGAGACTTTTGAAAAGCACACATTTCATTTTTATTTTCGTTTCTTTCTATCAGTGGTACAAGAGTTGATGAAGTATAAATGATATACATCACTTACATCCATAGGTATATTTAGGTGACCAGCATGTGAAAGTACAAATCCTAACATTTGATCTTCAAAACGATTACCGCTTTCACCACGTAAAATACCAATTGGAGTGCTGGCACTTTCTTGTAATGGAATTCCAAAAGTGTTACGTAAATACAAGCGCCCATATTTTGCATATATAAAATGAGCGAATTCATGTAAATATTTAATGCCAATCATTATTGAATAACTAGCTTGTAAATGTGTTGGCGCTTTTGTAGCTTGACGAATGAGCTATAGTAAAAAACAGGAAAAAGAAAAAAGAATAAGAATTGCAATATAATTAATCGCTATATTTTCATATATACGGTTAGTGCAGACAAATAAGAAACGCCTAAAAGAGAATGAAAACACGTCTTTCTTCTAGTTTTGCTCGCAATACGTATAAAACCTTCTTGAATTGTTTCCATTTTCATTTCATTTACAAGATGCACTGGATCCGGATCGTCGCGTTTTTGATTTGACAAAGTGTGAAAAACGAAAGATTAAATAGTAGCATTTTTTCTATATTTCAAAAGAAAATACTTAGGGTGTATCAAAAGTTGTGATCATGGTGTTACTTAGCCATATAGTAAACTTTAAGAAACTTTCTTTCTATATAGTCTCATAGAGAAAAGAATGCTCTATTTTTCTATGCTATTTGATCATATTTCAACTAATATCATGATAATAAATTTTCGATAAGACTTTTTTCGTTATCATTTGTGCTCGCAGTACTAGATCAGAACGGATGAGGCACGTTAGTTTCCAGTCCCTCAATCCATTGTATTAACAACCAAAATATACCATAAGATGCAGCGTAAAAAGCTCTACAATTGACATAAGACTACCTACTTTATAATTGCACTTTTCGTTTTCAAAACAAACAAAGTTTTGAGGGACCAAATTTTGGGCATTGAAAAAATCGATTGCACAGAATTTTCTTTCTTTTGAAAACAATTACAATAGGCTTTACTATGAAGATTGGAGAACTTTTCGGGCTGCATCTTTTGGTGTATTTTGTTTTCTTTTGATAAAGCACATCAGTGATGAAACAATGACATAACAAAAAATGATAATCCCCGTGTATCAAAAACATTATCAATTTCACATAGTCAAAATTTGATCGCCCAAAATTTTGTCCATTTTGAAAACGAAAAATACAACTATAAAATAAGCGATCTTACGTAAACTGTAGAGCTTTTTACGCTGCATCTTATGATATATTTTGATTGTTAATACAATGTATTATGGGATTGGATATTGCAACGCAAAACTTACTAGAGCACAAATGATAACGAAAAGAAGTCTTATCGAAAATTTATTATCATGATATTAGTTGAAATATGATCAAATAGCATAGAAAAATAGAGCATTCTTTTCTCCATTAGACTATATAGAAAGAAAATTTCTTAAAGCTTACTATATGGTTAAGTAACACCGTGATCATAACTTTTGGTCCACCCTAAGTATTTCTTCGAAAACGGAAGCATATCAAGAAACGAATAAGTTCTTATTATTTGTATTCATATGAAGTATTCTGTTGTTTACTAATTTTTTAGAAAGTAATTCCTTATCTGTCCCATAAACAAAATAGTAGATTTGAAAAGATTTTTCATAATGTTATTTTCTGTTTCTTTATTAGTTTGCATTAAATTTTAGCCTGTGAATACTTTTATTATTGAAATTATATGAGTTTGAACAATAATAGAAATTTAACTGAAAAAGACGAAACGAAAAAAATATGAGTCTTCAGTGATATTTTTATCAAAAGAATACTATTTATTTCAAAATGAGAGTTTCTGACTTAGCTGACTCACCTAATCTTCAGAAGATTATCGTACAGAAATGAATCTGAGCAGAGAATGGACAAAAAAAAATTATCTATCGTATATGATAGATGAACTACGTGAGCGTTTTTTATGAACTCGCATACTTTATAATAAATAAAAAAAGTATTTTTATGGAAAAAAAATGCAGACTCGTTGTTGTCCTCCTGGCATAATGAATCAGATTAAGGTGAAATTTTTTTTCACATATACTAGACATCGTTTGAGGTAGTTATATTTTTCTGTTTCATAAAATACTGTTCTGCTGGTTTTTGATAGCTCTTACGAAAAAATCTATATTCGAAAAGACATCCGAGTTTTGGATACCTACTGTATTTTGACTTTTTTATTCGAACGGCAACAAAATACAAAACAAGTACGCACTCCAAACAGTGTATAGTATCTATATAAAGGTTTCAGTTCAATCAAACGTAGCATATCGGAGGAGTAAAAGGTGGTGGTAAGGCGAAAATTGAGACAATATTTGCAATTGTAACCTTCCATCCAGTATCTCATAGAATACAATGTCTAGGAACTTTGAGTCTATGACAATTTGTGCTCTACTCATTAAGATCTATCTTTCCTGAAAATTTCAAAATTTTTCAACAGGTCATTATTTAGAGATTTCAGTAGGGAGAGGGGGTATTTTTAGGTTTCTACGTAAAATCTGGTTGTTGAAAGAAGACGATTGATACGAATATAGAGAAGAAGGTCAATCGAAATTACTTCAAAACACAATGTCGTCAATTTTTACAATTACTTCGACTTTTCTATGGATTATGGATACTTCAGGTTAAATACACTTCGTCACGGTCACACTGTGCTGTACTAGACACTTTATATATAAGGTGTCTATAATCCGAAGAAAAAGTAAATTTCAACATACTAATTCTTTTTCATTTCCAGTTGACAGAAGATTAAAAAACAATAATATCGACACTCTTGCTCATCCTTTTCCCTTTCTCAACAGATACTTTGCCGAAAAATGAGTGTGTTTATCGATGCACACATATACTATATGAAAAATTAGAGAAGTGATCAATCAAAATTATTCATTATAAGTCCTAGACTCAAAAGCTTGCTATTTCATATGAAACAAATTTAAATCTGCTTATTTGTGGTAAAACACTGATTTTTTGGATTTCTCTTATCTGCCATCTAGTACACAAAACTATCGGATATTTCTATTTTAACAAGATTTCTAATGCTTTGGTTCCAGTGACATTACAGTATATCAGGTCTCAGTGAAACGCGTTGTTGTTGAAAAAAAATAATAAACAAATTTAAACGATGAATTCTTTGTTGATTCCAATTGATATTCAAAAATGCATTAAATGTATCAAATCATTACTTTTTGCCTATTAAGTATTTTAAAACCTATTTATATAGGAACAAACCCGCTTTAATGAGTTCAAACTTTTGATTTAACATACGAATGCGTTGAAACATCATATGAACATTTATTCGTCTGCACGAAAAAAAATTCTGTCTCATAATTAGATATTCTAATTTCTATTATTAATCGTCTTTATTTATTTAGAACATGTCTCTGTTTTTTTTTTTGAATGAAAACAAGAGCAACAAGCTTTAGAAAGGAAAAAAAATATAACATGATTTTGAATAATATAAGAGAAGAATTGATCAAAACTAACAGGGCTCTACTTACTTGTGAGTTCATATAGATGTGATTAACTTGATCTTCTCCAACTATATACAAACCATATGCTGTACTAGTTACAGATTTTTTAACGTGAAGCATCGATCTAATTTGTTTATTATCTTTAAATATTATGTTAGGCCATTGACTTGATTCATGTATTATATTAAGCATTTCATCAATCTGACTATTTGATGGATTCTACAATAATAATTAAAAAACAAACTCATCTACGAACGAAAACACAGAAAAAAAGAAATTTTACCACTTCCGTTGTAAACAGAATATGATTTGATGGTAAAAAATGATCTTTTAACCAATATACGGATTGTGGACATTCTTGAAGTACGAATTCAACTAATGACAAATCAATATGTAAAGCCAAACAATTTTGTATAATGTCGGCATCCTCATTACAATGAGAATCGAATTCAAGTTGAATTTTTTGTCGATGAATTGGTAACGTGATCATCAATTTAGAAAATTCTTCAATCATGCTGGAAGATGGTTTATTATTAAGAATAATAATATCGGGTGTTTTTGATGACATTTGATATGAAGAATCTGAAAAACGGATAATAGATACAAGATAATGTTAAAATATTCATTTATTGAGCATTTGAATTTAGCTACTGACTCTTTGATTATTATAAGTTTATTCGTACCCAAGACAAGCAATCCTTGCACAGGATTCCGGTCCGGATTTCGTCGGAATCCGATAAAAACTGACAAAATCCGACAGAATCCTATCGGATTTTGCACGTGTCCGACCAGATCCGACAGTCGGAATTCGGCTCATGGGATTCCGACAAAAATCCGACAAGATACGGACGCAATTATTTGAATCCGACGGAATCCGACCGAGCGAGAATCACCTGGGTAAGTGATAAATATCCGAAAGATAGACTCATATTAGTACATCTTATAAAGAAAAAAGTACTATTCAACTTTACCTATATGCATAGCTCTCTGTCTTGATAGATACTTGAAAACAGTCTGTGACAAATAATTTCGCTCTATAATCCCATCATGAAATGTGAGATATTCCGTTGTGTACAAGAGAAGCTTATATTCCAGCAAATAGCAAAACGTTTTTGTCAGAGTAATAGTACATAATCTAGTGATATAAAGCAATGGAAGGAATGCCAATCAATGTCGAATGCACTACGTGTCGCTACACATAGGACGAGACTCATTTTTGAAATCTCATATTTATTGCCTATGAAGTACATCACTAATAAAGATTATTTATGAAGTCACATTCTTCTGACCTAGTATAATTATGGAACTAAACTAAAATAAAGGAATTGATTTACTGATATCTTTCGTTTGTATTTATTCTCACACAAAATTGGTTGTACTATGATTCAATTCTGCGTGTAGTGTAGCACCATCGTTTGTGTGAGACTGAACTTTCACGAAAACAAAATACATAGGTAAATATACCTTTTGTTTCTATACGTTTTTATCAATTTCTTTCTGGCCTTCTATTCGAACTAAGTGCATTAGTAAATATCGATCTCTATATTGATTGGATGACTCATGGGTACTTCTTCAGATGAACGACACCCTCGCCTGATTGGTTACATATATGAAGAGGAAAAGAAAAAAAATAGGACGAGAGATGGCGTATAGTTCCACATCAATGATAGCTATCAATTAAAACAGTATTCAAATAAATACTTAAAAATATTTAAAAAAAAATTATACAGACAAAAAAGAAATTTAGTAATAAACACAGATGAAAATAAATCTAAAATTCCTGATCACGGCGTATCTTTTGGTGTATTTCCTATTGAAAAATTTTATGAGAAGGTAATAAAAGTTTTCATTACAAAAATTCGAACATAACATTATTTTACTCTTCTAACACAGTACTAATGAATTATTTTGTGAATACATCGAGAAGGTATTTATTTGAATAGGTTCAAGTTTTATTATCGAAAAGACAATATGAGACCTGGTAGCTCGTGATGAATTCGAGGAATCATTGAATTGATGACTATTGAGCACTTCTCGATATATAATTGAAGAAATCATACAAACAAATTTTACTACTTACTTTTTGTGCTTTATATAAATCACAGTAATCCAATACTAATTCAGTACTTCCATGTCATATCTATGCTGTATATCATAGATTTTTTCATTTCTTTTTGTCATTGTACGTTTGTGTTAAACAGGCCGACTCCGCATCTTCTTTCGGAAATGATCTGGCCTATTTTATCTTTTTGTTTTAGTTTGCATTCTTTGTACTACTTTTCTTCGTCTGAGGCTTTGTTAGCAGTCTATTTTATAATTTATATCTATTATTAGTCTAGCGGCAACATTGATGGATAATTAGGAAAAAAATTCTCAATATAATGAGAATAAATACTATGAAGAAGAAGAAAAGTTGTGATCAAAATCAATATGACGAAAATGACAATGGAACAGGAAATTTGTCGACAGAACCGGTGAAAGTGATACAAAAAATAATAAGATACAAGAACGGAATATATTTTTAGATTTCATTTATGTATGTATTACTCTATCTCAGGGTATTGAGGAGAATTATGCGATATCATCAGAAGAATGAATGATAAAGGTAATAGAAACTACATGTACTAATCTTAAAATGTCCAAAAAGAATAGAAGAAAAAATAAATACTTTTGAAAATATTCGTTCTTTCTTTTTTTCTTCTCACACATTTTAGTGTTAATATGCGTATGTTCGTATTCTTGATCATTCTTTTTTCTGATCATGTTATGTAATATTTGCTGAAAGTTTGCGCTAAAGTAATGTGTGCATGAATACAATCTAAAAATGTACTTTATTTTAGTTTACACGATTTGTTTTATTAGACGTCCGTAATTCAAAATTCAAATAGAATTTTTTTTTGCCTTTTTTATGCATAGTTTGATAAAGCGTGAGCTATCAATCACCAAAAAAGTAGTTTTGAACGCTTATAAACATTCTTTTCTTCTCACCGATAAATGCAAAACAACTAGGTGGGTGTCTTTTTTCGTAAAATGTCATATATATTTCAAATTACACAATTTGTTTTGCTTCATTATGCTTGTCAGCTTGTGAATTAGGAGTGGCACATTACTATTATACGAAACTAATGATCATCACTTCGTCAAATACAGAAAATTAACCAGAAAGAGCAAAATCTCTTGAAGAGGGAATGAAAAGTGATTGATTTCTCTTTAATAGATATAACACGACATTTAGCTACAAAAAAAGAAGAACTAGAAACTCCATCTCAGAAGAGAAAATACATATGGGAATACTTTTTTTCGAATACTTACAATAAATAGTTCACATTAATGACATCTACTCTTGAAAAGTAGACCAAAATTTTATAGGAATATTTTTCATTCTGATAATAGTGTACATTATTCATATAAATATGAGAACTGTTTGATTCTATTCAAGTAAAGTTATCATGTGAAAAAAAATTTGTATATGTCATATGATTCATAAAAACTATTATTACCATTTAGTGATTAAGATAAAAAAAAATAATAACAACAAAAACTAACACCGTTATGCAAATAGACATGACTCATTTTGATGAATAAGATGTGTGAAAGTAAGTAAGATATTGCAACTTTTATGTCATTCGATAAAATATCTGTGTTAGTTTGTGTATTATATCTTCTGAAGTTAAGTTGTAATCAACAATAATGGGACAAAATGGAAGTTCAACAGAAAGAGATAGAGTCAACAATGATTCGAAATCTGCTGCTAAAACTAATGAAGACAACACTTTTAATATGTCGACAGAGTTTTATGAGCATAAATTATTAAAGCGATGTGAACATATTCATTTTGATATTGAAGCCTGGTATAAGATTTTGCAAGGTCAAACATTTTATACTGAATTCATTCCAATTTCTCCATCAATTGCTCAAGCTTTTGTTAATTATTATCAAACACGTTACAATTCTAAAAGTTTATTGAATTCTAGCAATATACAATTGATTCAATCTGTACAGCGTCAGTTAAATCAACAAATATTCAATTCAAAATCTAATCAATTTCAAATTAATGGTACTTTTATTCGTTTAAGTTCACGAAGTCCAAAAGATGGAACTCCCTTAGATTCACAAAAATTAATTCAATTATATCATCAAGAATTACAGATGCTACAAAATAAATATCCAAATGAATATCATTCAATTGAGAGTAAAGCAAATATGGAATTGATTGCTTACTCTTATGCTGAATTTCATTGTTTAAAAGTAACGAATGAATTTGAAGCATTGAATATAATTCTATCGAGTGAAAGAGTTTTCATTGATTTATTAGAAGCACTCGATTGTCAACAAGTGCAAGATAATAAGATCGCTAATATTAATAATATCAAACTTCATGATTGGAATACAAACATAATAATTCGTGAATGGAATTATTTATTAGATCCATCAATGGAATTTCGTTGTTTTGTTTATCAATCGAATTTAACTGCTATATCACAATATAACCATTATTGTAAATTTTATCAACTTCAAAACAATTTAACTGTTCAACAAATAAAAATTACAATTATTGAATATTGGCAACAAAAAATAAAGCCACTTTTATATCCATTTAAAGAGAAATATTTTAGTTACGTTATTGATATAGGATTAATTGAAAACAAATTATCTAATGAACTAGAATGTGTCGTTATTGAATTAAATCCATTTGCATCAAGTACTGGTGCAAGTTTATTCGATTGGAAAACAGATATTGATCAACTAACAGGACAACAAAATGATATCGAGTTACGCATTCGATCAGATTATTTGCCAAATATTAATCAATATGTCGAATTTATTTTTCAAGAAAATAAATTAAATACAGAAGAGAATTTATTATCTACCGATGACGATCATCAACCTTATTTTATATTTCTAAATAAAATACAAACACAACTTTCTTCATAAGATATATTTTCTACCATTAACAATCCGATGTAGTTCAAGTATATTGCATCATTGAAATCAACAAAATAATAATTATTAAAACTTCTAATTATCACAAAATAATCTGAAAAAATTATTATAAAAACGGAACTCGGGTAGTAAACATAGATGGACACGTCGGATTTTTTCCAGAGAAAATATTAAAACATATATACTTTGCTTTATTCCCTTTTCTGAAAGAAAGGGTTATACGGGATTAAAAAACGCATAAAGTTTGTCTGTCCAAGCCAATCAAAAACGAGCATTTTATTCATCGGGTTTTCGATCACTCTGATGAAACTTTGCAATAGGTTTTCAGGGTCCAGGAGTCAGAATCCGAGATCAGATTTTTGATCCGACCATTCATTGGTCGAGACACATCCAATCAGAAACGAGCTTTTTTATTCATCGGGTTCTCGAGCAATCTGGTGAAACTTTGCAATAGGTTTTCGGGGTCGAGAAGTCCGAATCTGAGGTTGGATTTTTGATCCGTCTTTTCATTGGTCGAGAAACGGACCAATCAGAAACGAGCTTTTTGTGTTGTTAACATGATGTGTTGAAAAGTAAAGACACCTAATGGAACTGTCAAGATGATTCAGTGGTAGAAAAATTCATAACCAAAGATTAATTATCAAAAGACACGATTTTATTTCCTAAGGAAGAACAATTCATAAAGTTACAATGTCTGTCATTAAATGAGACAAATGATTATTTAAGTAAAACATTTCGAAACATTATTCAATTATTGAATCACTTCTTCAATTGTTTCTTACAAGACAAATGTGATTATTTTCAATCAAAAATATCTCAAAATCTTCTCTTTTTTTCTTTCAGAAAAGGAGCAGCGAATCCGTAGGATGAGCGCTACCTTGTTGATCAACTGCTTCACTACTCAACCATCTACTCACATATGAAATGCAATTAAAGCTGAAGGATATAATTATCATCAGATAATTACTACATGCGTCTGAACCTGAATACTAATAACTATAGATGATTTCGAAACATTGAACATGGCTTTTAAGCGAATATAATGTGGATAGATAAGAGCGGTTCCATTTTAATGAGAAATAATTGTAAATGCACAAAAAATGCAAGTGTTTGAAACAGCTTGCATATCCATACATAAGATAAGACAATTTGAAAACTATTTTTGGTAAGTAAACTCCAGTTTCTGAAAATTTTCTGCAAATCCATACACATTTTTTAAAGCTTTCACGTTTGATGGGGGATGATGATACGTTCTAAAAGGAATGTTCTGGTATGCACAGACCAAATTAATTATATAGATAAAATAAATAAATGAAATTCTGTAAGATCCAACATGTTAATATGATGATAGCATAAGTTGTGTTGAAAGTTTTTAAATAAAGAAATGAAAATTTATATATATATATATATATTACTTAATTAATCAGATGATCATATGTTTTGGGAGGTATACCTTCTGAAGAAGGTTATCTCAATACTATTATCTGTTACTATAATGGGACTAACTATAAAAAGACATACATTTTGTATTTATAAAAAAAAAAATAAAAAAGACATTCACGACCAGTTCGAACTATTGACGATGACAAAGGGATGAGAACTGCAAATGTAATCAATGTTCTAAAGTTTCCACACATTTTTTTTTTCATTCTGCTATTGGACGTGTCTGTTTCCTTATGATTTTATGTCTGCTGAGAATATGTGAACCCGTAATATTTTTCTGGGCAACATCTTTTATTTAAGACTTACTTTAGTTTCAACAGAACAAACAATTCCATACGATACTGTTGATGAGAAACAATTACTTACGCATGGTGCTTCTTATGCTTAGATGGCCTCATTATTTTTTTTTCGAAGCTGTTATGATCAAAGAATTCTCTTTGTGAGCTTGAACAAGCATATGATTCTTTTTTTCCTCTCTTTAACTACCATAGCGAACAAAGATTTCATTATTATTTTCACCATCTACAAGATATATTTGCAAGTAGCAATTATGTTGAATTTCTCGCAAATTCTGAATATTTTGGCAATTCCTATTTGTGCATTGATCGTTCTTGGTAGTCTTACATATGCAATTCCTATCTTGTTGGATCGTCGTTTCAAGCATAGGTTTAATGTACTCACATTTAACCTAGACTTGAGTGTGATGATCTGTGCTCTCTATTGGCTTGTTTACAAAATTATGTACGTTTTTGATTCTGTTCAATTATTTAATAAAAACACATGCAGTTTTCTTCTCTATATGCAAATGATGTGTACCTGTCAAGTACCATTTTCAGTTCTCGTGGTTTCCATTGATCGACTGTTTTGTATTATCTATTATGGAAAACGATTTTTCAAAACAAATCACTGGCTGACAATAATCATTATTGTTCAATGGATAAGTGGTTTTTTACTTTCAATACCAGCGATTTCAAGAATATCAGATGTAAGGAATATTTACATTTCGTTCTACAGTGATACATATTAGAACATTTGCATATTCGATCTGACCAAAAAGATAATCTCTGAAACGGATGAATGAATTATTCAGTTTTTATACAGCGTTTTATTAAGGCATAATTGAATCGATTTTGTATCATCAATAGTCATGTTTTTCTTTTCGAAGGATTTAGCTCATTGCAAACGACTCTCTATAAGAGAAGAGTTTTGCTTCTAAGACTTCTTCAATTCACTGATTTTGAAAAACAAGCTTTCAAATTGCGAGTAAACTAGCGAAGGTCATCCAGGTCTGACAGACATCGAATGAAATTTTTACATTGACAGGTGCTCATTATACTCAGAATCTGATAAGCGTCTATAAATGATGGCACTTCATTACGATATACGACTTCTGCATCCTATTACAAGATGATCACAATTTTTGAGATCATAAACAGAATGGAAAGCTGTTTCATGAATACCTTGAAGCGTGAAAGAAAGCATATTGTCCGAGTAATGATATTCATCGCATGAAAACTTAAAACTCTCGTTGTGTATTTTCTGCCAATATTGCTATATGAATTCATTGAAAGCAATGAATAGTGTACGAAGAGTCCGTCAACATTTAGTGAATTTTACACGTATGAAATGATTCAACTAGTTAAAAGCGCACGACACTGTAAGCAGGAAAATATCGTTGAATTTTCTAATTTTTAGCGTTGTTCTTCAACATTGTGGGCAACATATTACAAAACAATAATAACCGTAATAGCTCCTTCAATAGCCTGTCTCGTTATAAATATGTACATATTCATGTATGCCCGTGCGTCAACTCGTCGCATTCGACCAGAAAGACGTCCTACACAACTGAATAATAATTCTTCTTCAAACTCAGGACTTTCTCATCGTGATCTTCACCTGTTACGACACATGATTTTCATGTTTTGCTTGTTTATCGGTGGTTGGGGTCCTGTCCATTGCAACACAATTGCTGTTTTATACATTAAAATCTCCAATCTGGTCACTGACATTTTATTTCTATTGAGTGCATTAAGTCTATTCATTCTTCTCGTCAATTTATTTTTATATAATCATGAGATAAGACGTTTCTGGTGTGGTAAATTCTTACCTTGCTGTACTTAACCAGCTTCTATTATTTATGAACAGAAATACTTTTTTTAAATAAAAGCATCTCAATAAATACATCTTCACATATTCGAAATCCTAAGAATGACAAAAAGAAATAAAATTTTTCTTAACAATTGATACTATTTTTATTGTGAAATGAGTTACGTATTTATTGATATAACCAGTTTTACTTTCAACATAGTCAGACAGTCAATGCTATCATAACAGTTCTTTCTACATAAAATTTTAACATTGGTTCAACGATACAAGATGATAGTTAATCGGAGACGGGATATTCAAGACTTCAAGGGAATTTGAATGAGATCGTTGCAACACTAATCTCAATCTTATTCATTCATTGAGAAATCTTTAAAGGATCTTGCAGGATCGTAAGTTACAATAATCCTACAAAATTTTATTTAGAATGCTGTGTCAAATCTTGATAATTTCTGTTTTCAATGTGTTCCATGGTTAAATTGGATTCCTTTTAGGATTCATTCAAATTTCTACTAAGATTTTTTTCCATTGAAAATTCCGCATCGTATTAGAATTTACTCTTGATTCTACTCTAGATCTTAACTGCAAGATTAGAAAATATTCACGAAAGATTTTATCAAGCTCTTATTAAGATTTTCTCGAAATTTTTATGCCAGGAGCCCTTCAGAAATTATAATTGTATCAGACGAAGATCTTAACAAGAAAACTAAAGAATCGTTCACAATCCAAAAATAATGAGCCCTGTGAAGTTTCGATTAGGATATTGTTTTAATTACTACTAATACCCACTATGAGCGTCTTCTCTAGACTTTCTTAGGATTTGATTCAGAAATTTTCATGGTTAATCATTTCGGATCGTTACAAGAACATATCAACCATGATCGCAACCTTAATAAGAAAATACAACGGTCAAATTAAAACTTTTGCAGATTTTAATTCAGAATCAATCTGAAATTTGACATTCAGGATTCTACCAAGATTTATAAATGATCTAGTTTAGAATTTTGGCAAAAATTGCCACAAGTTTGTTTTATTTAGATTTCAGTGGATAAATATTGGTAGCATTTAAATGGTCAATATTAAGTGAAATTTGAAGAATAAAAAAAATGGAAATCAATTTGAGATTTTACTAGGTTCTTGTTTGGACTCAGCAAGATTCAAAGAATTTAAGACTCTACTAGAATTCGATTCTAATTTTTGCTTAAATATCAATATAAATAAATCGAAAGTTCGGGTGAAAGATGATAAGACTTTCTTTTGGTCTTTTTTAAGATTATTGAATATGTTCTGAGATTTACGCCACAAAAGTCAGTTATCTTTTCAGTCTTTTTCTTTCATGAAATTTGAAAAATCGTTAGACTAGGGTTTCAATATATTTACTTATTGCACGAAACATGGTATATTCATTAGAAGTTGCTTTCGAACTATAAGACTGGTTTTAAATATCGGTTTTTAAAAAAAAACGTTTATTTAAATAACATTTTCTTTAGCGTCGGGCCGGGCGGGCTTGAATAAGTTTTGGGCCGCTTTGGGCCGGCTCGGACCATGAAAAAATGGCCTGTTTCGAGCCCTGATTTGTTTGATGTATAAGTTTAACAATATTTTGTACACCAGCATGAATTATTTGATCAAGTTCAGCTTGAATACCACGAATTGATTCTTTATCAGGAAACATATCAGCAAAACGAAAACTAAATAAACAGAACAACAAATCTACATGAAATAAATAAATGATTGATAAATAGATATTAACCTGAGCCATAAATAAAGATCTAGACAATCGAAAACTTCTTCTAAATGTACTAAATCCATAACTGTATTTGATATTTCAAATGGCCAACCTATTTGTTTTGCAAGCCAATCGAATGTTGTTGGTTCACTACGATTAAATTGACGTGCATACTTCAAAATAAAATCGAAATCAAATATACTTATGAATTAAAAAAAAAAAGAATATTTTACTTTCAAAAACATAGTACAAACAAATGGCATTTTTTTATTAATTGGAGCACATGAAAATGTATAACGAGCACGAAGTTGTAATGGTACATGTTCAATAATATCAGCAAGAAATTTAACATCTTCAACATTACACATAAAAAATAGACTATCATCTAATTGCGATAAAACTATAAATATATCCTAAGTAAATAAATTATTTTGTTAGATTAATCAATTTTATTAATAACATACAATTAAACGTGAAAGTGAATGTTTAGGTAAATGATAGGCAAACATTTCAATTTGTTCAGCTGTTGGATGAAGTCCAGCACGCTAAAATACATAGAAAATTCAATAAATAAAATTAATTTTTTTATTTGAAAATGAATACTTTAATTGTTTCTACTTGTCGACTAACAATATCTTTCAATAATGGTAGATCATCACGTCGAAATGTTGTTACTTCACCATCTGGAAAAGCACTTGCAAATCTAAAAATGAATATAGATTAAAAACATTTCATGATTTCATCGAAATTTATTTAACCTTCCAGCTCGACCAGCAATTTGTAAAGCTTGAGATGTTGTCACTGTATCTTTTTCTTTTTCTCCTTGTTCATTTAATTGTGGTTTTAGAAGACTATAGAAAATAATACGTTTAATACTCCTATAAACAAAAAAAAGAAAAAAATAGTCCAAATCTTAAAACAAAATTTATAAACATACAAATTTAAACCCATGCCAATAGCATCTGTGGCGACCATTATTTTACATGGATCATTGGGATCATTAAAACGTTGAGCTTGTAATAATTTTGTACCTAATTGAAATTTGAATTTTTTTTATTTTTATAAAATTAAAATGAAGAGATAATTAACCTGGTGGTAATGATTCATAAATAACAGCTACTTCATGACCACGTCTTTCTAATTCA